AAAAAAAAAAAAAAAAAAAAAAAAAAAAAAAAAAACTAATATTAATTCTTCACTTAAAAGGTTGGAGGAACAAGTGCGCGTACTAATGGCCGAGCGTCATGAAGTGGAGAAGAAGCAGCGCGCAGAACATGAGGCCCAAGAACTAGCCTACGTGTCCAAGTTGCAGCAGTACCAGGCCACCATTGCAGCGCTTGACCAATGCAACCCGACAGTTGTAGAAGAGAATCCCCCCATCCAACACACAAAGGTCGGTACTGGGGTCCTTAGTAGGCCTGTCCGTGTGTTTGACGTCTGAAATAATCATTGTTGTCCCTAGTGGTGCTCTGAGGACGATAGCCTGATATAAACATTGCGTATACCGTGTTGTTCTCTGTCTTTCGTGTGATGGAACGTGAACTGAATTTCGTGGAAGTAATTAATGGGTAAACCTTATTCTTTCATTCCTCTGTTACAGTCCTTGGGCAATGGATTGTAATGTGTGAAGTTGCATTTATGATTAGGTTTGTGAGTAACCTATCATCACATACGTGTGTTGGGTGTAAACACTTCATTGTTGGTGTTATATATTTTGCCCCCTCCCCACCCTCTTTACTAGGTTTTGTATGTGTGAATTTGGGGAAGAAAATCTTTTTTTTTGGTTTATTCAAAATCTGAACGGTTTTACTGCAACATAATTTGACTGATGACACATATCCCTCCAAGCCAAGGGAGAGGTATTCAGTTGTTCCTTCTTTGCACAGGTACCATCGGAAGACTTGCAATACCACAAGGAGGCCCTTATTAGTAATGAATCTGTTGTGCAGATGCTGGCAGAACGGTGTCGCACACTGGAGCAGGCCAATAAGAAATTACAGTCCGAGGCGCGGGCACAGCAGCAGCAGTATGAAGTGTGTCTAGACCGCGTTGCTACACAGGTCGTCCAAGCTCTCCTCTCGCAGAAGGTAATGAGTCTCCTGCTTGGAAACTAGTTTTTTGCTTTGCATTTTCTTTTTTGGTTTTATTCTGAAGTCAGCAGTCAGAAAAAGTACTGTTTTGATTAGAGAATGATGGAAGTATATCAAGATTCAAAAAATAATTTGATGAAGGAGAACTGTCATATATTTGATCGTAACATTTATTCCTACAAGGATACTGAAAGGTATCTCTCCTCTCTTTTTTCTGCCTCCTCCTCCTCCTCTTCCTCTTCATTTTTCCCTGTTCCTCTTTATTTTTGTCGTCATCTTCATTTTTTCCTCTTCATCCTCTTCCTCCTCCTTTGTCTCCTCCTCCTCTTGCTCTTCCTCCTCCTCTTCTTCCCCTTCCTCCTCCTCCTCCTCCTCCTCCTCCTCCTCCTCCTCCTCCTCCTCCTCCTCCTCTTCCCCGAACAGAGACATACTAAAATATTACTCCTATGATGTAAAGCAGAATAAGACATTAATATTCTCATCAACCCTGTTCTCACCATAGCCAAAGGAACACTAATAGTGCCGCCCCCTCCCACACCTGACATCCTCTCTCTCTCTCCATGGCAGTCACACCAAGAGCAGTGTGTGAAGTTGGCCAACCAGGTCCAGGCTCTCAGACGGCAGAACGCAGCCCTCTCCTCACTGGTCGGCCACGGGTCTACCCCTCAGACCCTACCCTGCTCCTACCGGCATGGTTGTGCGCCCCATGCCGACCCCCCTACCTTCCTCAGTCTCCCCACGTCGTTTACCAAGAACAGACAGGTAAGTTTTTTTTGTTTTTTTTAGGTGTTTTGTCTATTTTTTTGTCTTTTGATCTCGTGGGTTTATTGGGGTTGGGGTTGGGTTCAGGGATTGTGATGGAGATTTCTTTTTTTTTTTTCTCTCTTATTGTGAGAAAGGGTTTAGGGGCAAAACTTAAAGGTAATGCTGGGTTTCAAAAAGGGATTTCAAAGGCTGTCTGAAATGTAAATGATAGATATGATTTGCATGTTCTTCAGTGATTTTTTTTTTTTTTTTCAAGAATTATGGTTTTATGAAAAAGTAGTGGTAGATTACATATACTTTTTTTTTCTTTTTATCCTCCCAAGCTGCTTTACTTGACCCTTTATTTCTGTCTGTAAATAACATACAAAAATTACACACAATACAATAAATAAACCTTTAGGTCACAAAACATTCTAGAAGCCTCAGTGATTTCTTTATAAATATGTGGATGTTTTTCATTAATTAATTTTGATCCTAATTTGATGTACCTGGTTGAAATTAGACCACATTAATATGCATTTGGATCCCAGGCAAGGAGGCGGCTAGCAGGTGCAAAGCGAGGGAAGAAACGAGGCAAAAAGGTTGCTAGGGTTCGTAGGCTTGTTGCAACAGTTGCTGAGTCAAAAAGTTTGCAATGCTGTTTTCTTTTTTTCTTTTTTCTTTTCTTTTTTTTAATGGTGAGAGCATGAGCACATTTACGCTTGATGGAGCACGGTTGAATGAGATTGTAGGTCCCGATTGTATGGTTGCAGGGGGGTGTTAAGGTTGGGAATTGGGCGGTTTGTGTCTTCTTGGTTACTCTTAGTGATATTTGTCATTAATTTTTTCAGTCTGACTGCTTAATTTCCTTGTTAATGGTGGTTTTGATTATGTAATTGTGAGGATGTTATAATTAGTTTATTGGATTATTTGTCATTAAGTTTTTCATTCTGACTTCTTAATTTCCTTATTAAGGATGGTTTTCATTATGTAATTGTAAGGATATTATAATTAGCTGTTTGTTGGTTTATTTTCTTGCTAGTGATTATGATTATTATCATGGATATTATTGCAGTTGTTACAGGTCTTGTTAGTCATGCTATGTCTCTTTGGATGTATGAAATCTGTTATTGGATGATCTGACTCAATTGTAATATCAGAATGAAACATGTAATTCTCATTGTATTTTCTCTACTTTTGTAATTGAGGATTTTTTCTTTCTTTGTTGGTAAAGTGATTTGTGTTTGATTTTGTGCCATATTGTTACCTTCTTTTTCTTTTGACCGCTTTGGGAGTTGCCACATTGGATCATCTATTTCTTCATCTATTTGTCTTTTGATCTTGTTGTTACACCACCATCTATGCATTTTTTCTTTAAAACATAAACCTACTTCTTTGTTCATCCTCATCTCCTGCTTGGCATCTATATCCTCAGCATCCTTTTCTTTTCTGCTCTCATTTTGTCTCCAATCTGTCCTCCTGGCATTGTACCTCTGATATACCTAATATTAATACTCTTAATCTTGTGTATCTCTATCACTCATAACAAAAATCCTTCTTCTTTCATTCATTCTTTCTTTTCTCTTTTCTTTCTTTATAATTTGATAAAGGTCCATAGTATAGCTGGTGTAACTACTATCTTGCAAATCTTCCCTTTCATTCGTGCAGTTACCCCTTCCTCCTGCTCTTCTCCACCCTGCCTGCGCTCTCATTTTCACCCCTCTGTCTCTACCATACTCTTCTTTCAGTGGGCTCCAGGCTTCTAAACTCATTATCAGCTCTACTCTGAGGCCATTTTGCTGCCCCTCCTCTCATTCATTATCTCTTGCTTCTACTAACTTTCAATCCTCTTCTCTCCGTTGCTTACTTCCATCTCTCCAGGCCCTTCTAAGCCTGCTCTACACACTCGATACAAATCACAGTGTCATCTGCAAACAGAAGACTCTTGTCCGATCTTTTCTGTCAACCTGTCTGGCAGGAGTGGACTTAGAGAAAATCCTTGGTGGAATCCCACCTCCACCCTGAGGTTGGGATTACACGGCACTGGTTTCCAGTTTGAGAGAAGTGAAGCGGGAGTTTTGATTGTTGGACTGCGATAAAGTTGATTTAGTAGATGACTGGGACAGTTTTCTTAAATTTATTGTTATTATTATTATGCGATCTCTCTCACTCTCTCTCTCTCTCTCTCTCTCTCTCTCTCTCTCTCTCTCTCTCTCTCTCTCTCTCTCTCTTCTTCTCTTCTCTTCTCTTCTCTTCTCTTCTCTTCTCTTCTCTTCTCTTCTCTTCTCTTCTCTTCTCTTCTCTTCTCTTCTCTTCTCTTCTCTTCTCTTCTCTTCTCTTCTCTTCTCTTCTCTTCTCTTCTCTTCTCTTCTCTTCTCTTCTCTCCTTCCTTCCTTCCTTCCTTCCATTCCATCTTTTCCTCATGTTTCTTTCATATTTTCCAGGCCAAAAGAAAGGCTGAGTGATATACCTTGGGATAAAGTTCTGATAAGAAAAAAAGAAGGATAGATTGATAGGTTTGTTGTAGGTGATGTAAATTTGTTTCTTTTACAGAAGGAAAGGTATTTGGTTAGGTAGTAGTTGTCCTCCTTTGTGTTTGTGTCTGTCTGTGTTTGTGTCTGTCCATCCATCAGTCTGCTTTTTGTTGTTTGTGACTTGGTGTTTTACAACTTCATATGAGGATGAAGAAAGTTCTGAAAACCTACATACTTCTAAATAATTCATTTACTTACCACACTTGTATTCACACTGCACGAGCTAAACCTTTTTTGCTTCATTTTCTTTTTCATGAAACTCAGATTTCCCTTTTCCTGCAAATACTCCAGGCAGATTTTGTTTCTTTGGTTGAAGTGAACGCTCAGAAACACAGTTTTTGTATTGCTTTATTTTCTCTTTGCACAGTGCCTGATTTATTCTTCATTATGCTCCTCTTATCATTTTATTGGTTGATATGTTCAAAGCCTGCTTCTTTTCCTCTCTCCAGTGCCACCTTTGTTTCTTCCTTTCAACTGTCTTTACTGCTGTCCTGGTTATATGGCAGTTGAAATCAATTATCAAAGTGGACTCATAATTGCTTGACTCTTCATAGAAAATTCTTCCTCTCTCTGTTTTCTCTTTTTCTTTCATTTGGCAAAGTTCTTGGTTAAAGAGTGTATGCTGTCTTTGAATTTTCCCTTCTGGAATGCATTTTTTTGTATAAACTAATGAGACATTTTTCTCTCTCTCTCTCTCTCTCTTTCTGGAAAATATTAAAGATCATAATGAAATGCTTCCTGTATATGTATATGTTTCCTATATATGTTTAACATACTGCAATTGCATTATGTTAAGAGTACAGATACTACATTGTACCCAGTTTCAGATAGAGACCTTTGCAATAAGAAAATGTTAAGTGCAACTTCTTAGGGCCTGGATCAGGAAAAAATTTCCCCCCATTTGGAATTAAAAATTAGAAGACAAAGTTGTTGCAAGTAATTATTTAAAGGAACACAGTAGTATTGTAAATGTATTAGCTTGTATATGGCCATTAGTTGTGGATGGTCGCTCAAGATATGCCCAACAGATGTCTCAAGTTCACTTTTTTAAGAGATGTTAATCTATTAAAGTTTTATGTTTTTATCATGATTTATTCATTGTTTACAAAGAATTGTAAACATGATAAAGAGATTTATCAGAAAGAGGGATATATATATGTGTGTGTGTGTGTGTGTGTGTGTGTGTGTGTGTGTGTGTGTGTGTGTGTGTGTGTGTGTGTGTGTGTGTGTGTGTGTGTGTGTGTGTGTGTGTGTGCGTGTGTGCATGTGTGTGTGTGTGTGTGTGTGTGCGTGTGCGTGCTTGTGTGTGTGCGTGCGTGTGTGTGTGTGCTTGCGTGTGTGTGTGTGTAAAAGTGGAACAAGTAGAAATATGATTAATCAACAACAATATTTTATTAATTTGAAAATATGGTAAGGAATGTTACAGACTTAAGTAGGAATATATCATCTCTTTCGCTTCAGTGTTCTTTTAACCTCTCTTTTCTCTTCCACAACAGACTGAGCAGTGGCCACCAGGAGGATGGGTGGCCTCTTGGCATGTGGAGGAGAGCAGCAGAAGTCACCTGAGTGACAATGCCTCCTCCCAGAATCGCTTTCATTCGAGCTTACAGTTACTCTCTGAAACTAGTCTCCAGCCTAGGCTCTCACTCTCGGACCACAACACCACTTCGAGCAGTGCACAAATGGGGGAGGACTGCTACACCCCTCAGGAAAGAACATCCTGTACCTCAGCTGCTAATTCCTCTACTAATACGGCAACAACAACGTGTTGGTACGACATCATAACTTCTCTGAGTTTAACAACAACTTCTCAAACAGCAGCTGTCAGGAGTGCTCAGGGTCATGCGGCCGTTGCAAGATCTCACGACACCAACAACATTTGGCATCAACAAGACCCTTTGCTTAGTAGCACTGGGAGAAACAGCAGCAGCAGTAGCAGCAGCAGCACTGACTGCCCCCTCCAAGCCCACTACCACCAGAAATCGGGTGGACACCAGACCAACATAGCAGATTCTCCTAGTGGGTCTGGGAACCTGGAAGACATGGGGACGTCTCTGGCACCCAGAGGAGAAAGTGGCATGCAGAAGTTTTCCCCTTTGTCACTGGAATCAGCACCTACTAGCACAAGCAGTTCCCCAGAGCAGAAGAACTGCCATGTGTCCCAGTCAACCATGGATAACCTTGACTTAAAGGACTCAAAGGTGAAAGTTCTTGAAAATAAGGAAATATTAAATCATACCTCAAGTGAAATCAATGCAAACCTCCTTGTTAATAATGTAAGTAAAGATGAAATTAGCAACATACTTCAAGTGAAAGGGGAATTATTAAAGACTTTAACAGAGGCAACCAATAAACAGTATCCAATTGATTTAACAGTATTCACATGTGAGGACAAAAGCAAGGGTGCATTAAATAAGAACTTGGCCAAAGTTAGTTCTAAGGTTAGTAATAGTGAAAGGACCAATAGTAACGATGGCAGCACAGCAGAGGAAGGTGCAGAAGTAACCACCAAGGACGAGGGTTACTCCACCATGTCCAGTGACGTTCAGGCAGAGGTTAAGGAAAGTGTAACTATTAGTTCTGTGACGACTGTGCAAGAAGAACCTCTGACTCTCGTTCCTGTCAGTGAGAGTGGTAGTCAGGAGACGGCCAGCGTTGTGGGTGACATGTCCTTAAGTAAAGGGTCTAGTAACAAGAGTGAAAATGATTCAACAGACAAAATTAGTGTTAAGGAGAGAAAGGTATCCAATACAAATAATGAGTACTGTGATGGTCTTCGTGTTATATATGATGAAGAAGACAACAATTCAGATGTATTTTTTATACCAATTCAAGAACCAGAAAATGAGAGCTTGTATAGACATAGTTATCATGTACCATCTAATACGGAACCGAGATTGCCAACTCGATGGTACTCAGATTCCCAGCTCTACAAAGAAAGGAGAAATGCTCAAGGTCATAAAATTGTCGCTAGTCTTGATAGACATGTGTCCGTAAAAGATCTTGCAGAGAGGACTGCCTCCACTGCAGAAGTGTTGGAAGAAGCCTGCAACACAAGGAGCTTGAAAAGATCCTCAGCGCAGGCAAGTCTCAAGCGAGCCAATCTTCGTAAAAGAGAAGAACAACCTACCTCAGGCAGCAGTGAAGAACTGTGGCCACTGGAGGACGACCACAGAAAGTATCTCTCTCCCACCTACAGCCACGCTGAGCTAGAGGACTGGTCACTTGACTTGTCATCGGAGTATCTGAGTGGTGCATGTGGGGAGGGCGAGGGGAGTGAGAGCGTGGGCACGAGTGGAGCCCACCATGGATCTCTGCCGTCCATCCAGGAAGCCACGCCCGAACTTGAGGAGGACAATAACGAGTTCCTCTGGAATGGTGCTACGTACTTTAAAACTGATTTAGATTTAGACTGGTCAAGTAAAAAGGAAATGACCAAAAGCTGGCAGTTGGATCATGCGAAGGAGAATCAGATAGTTATGTCTCCTCGATCTGGGTGCTCTGACCAGCCTGCAGTGTGGTCTAGCAGTGAGCAGCTTTCGTGCTGTTCCGAAGGGGTTTCAAAGTGCAGTTCCGATTTTGAAAATTTCTGTGAACAAATATGTAATTTGCCTGAACTGAAAAGGGTGTCCTTTTGCAGTAGTGAGTTAGGGGGTCAGGAAGCCTCTAAAGGTGCCAGCCACGACACCTCGAGTGCGGGCGAACATGAAGAAGAACTCGCAGATGAAATGTGTATTGATACTGTTTTTACTAGAGATTTTTACCGCCTTGTTAAGTTTGAAAGCAACCGAAGTCTTGCAGCCTCATCTAAAAGTCTGGCCACTTCTGATGGACTCCTCACTATAGAGAGACTGCAAGACTTGGAATCTAGTGGATCACGCAAAGAGGCATTAGCATCTGTCCTTGGTTTTATTGCAGAGCAGCAGAAGTATTGCAAGGAGAGAGAAGCTCAGGATGAGAAAGTTGGCAGTAGTCACTCTAGAGATATGTTGAAGATTGCCAATGCTATTGAATGTGCTGGATCTCCTTTAGCCTCCGTTCTCTTCAGGGGAACGTTTCCAAAGTCTGCACTTCGTGAAGGTACCGGTGACCAGATTAAAGCCTCAGAGGAATTCTCCATGAGGACTCTGCCCACAAAATCATGGAAGCAAAGCAACTCGGTGAAGAGTAAAGTTGGTCCAGCTGTTCCTGCCAAACCCAGGTCATGTTACCTTCAGGGAGGTCAACCTGGAGCTGCTACCTCTAATGTCTTACCTACAACTCCTGCCAGATGTCACCCTGCAGCCGCATCCTCATCCCTTCCAGCTGCATCAGCTGAATCGCCACCTGCTTCCCTCCCAGTCTTGCCGGCCACATCTCACCCACACCCCTCTGTGCCTTCCCGGTCATCTAGTTTGGCCCCTCTCCAAGCCATACCTGCTTGTGAAGAGGAAGTTCCTCTCTCTCCTGTCCCTACGGTGCCCATCAGGAATGCCTCGCACCCTCCTGATACAGACTCAATTGCAGATCAGCAGATTTATTGTACGCCTTGTCCCGAAGTACCTCATCACAACCCTCCAGTACCTGACCACAATTGTGTGGACATGTCTTGTTTCCCCCCGGTGCCCCGTCGCTCATCCAGTATGGCTTTCTGTTGCAATGTCTTACCTGTACCCGAGCACAAGGTGTCCCTGAATGACCCCCCACCTGTGCCCAAGCGCATAACGAGCCGAGCCCTGCCCAAGCCTCCAGCTGTGATAACCAGCCAGGCATCGTTAAACAATGCCAATGGCACGAGCAAGAGCAGTGGTCATGAAGGTAAGCGACCTCGGAGCTTCCTGGGACTGGGAATATCCAGCCCTAAGAGGCCCCAGAGCGAGCATCATGAACTGCCCAGCCTGAGTGAAAACCCAGCAGGCATGCTGGTAGAGTTGCAGCGAATGGCCAAAGTGGAGGAGGAGGAAGAGGAGAAGAGACAAAGACCAAGACCTGGAGGCCTCTATGAAGCCACAAGTCCTGGCGGGTCTGTGGGCCTTGGCACTGGCTGGGTCAGGGTCCAGCCCCATGTCGATCTGCAAGACCCTCAGGTAAGTTGATGTTGATCAGAGGATGACCCTAGACATTTAATCTAAATCTCTTATTAGAATTAAAATAATTCTCTCTCTCTCTCTCTCTCTCTCTCTCTCTCTCTCTCTCTCTCTCTCTCTCTCTCTCTCTCTCTCTCTCTCTCTCTCTCTCTCTCTCTCTCCTCTCTCTTTCTTTTTTTTCTTTCTTTTTTTTATTATTATTATTTTTTTTTTTTGTAAAAATATGAAATGTATGGAAATATCACTCTGACCAACCTTCTAATCAGGTACCTGCTTTCAGGCTCGAGCTAATCTGTTAGATGGGATGATGGAGTCAAGTGAGGGTTGCAGCTCAGAGACAGAGGACGATGAGGGCATGGCACACCAATATGCACAGCTCAGGTCTATGCATCGCAGTAGACGTAAACGCAAAGGTGAGCGTCGTTGGTGATAGGATTTTTTTTTCTTTTTTTCTTTTGTTATTTTTTTGGTTACATTGAAATAAAAGTGGTACAGATGCATTTTTTGTTTAGGGAAGGTTTTTTGATGTGAAGCATTAAGCTTGAAACTAGTGAAATACTGAGCTCTATATCACCCATATTTCCAATTTGATAAGGCTCTCTGCTGCTTACCCTGTAAAGACTGGGCCTCTATATTAGTCTTCTTATGAATTACTTTTGGAAAAATGTTCACAGCTGAAAAAATGTGAACTATTCAGGTTCCTGTAATTTATGGAATTAACTTTGTCAACATCACTAGAAATGTTCATCTTCTACTAGAAAAAAAAATAAAACAAATACAGTGGAGTAAAAGAAATAGTAAACTTTGGTATAAAAGAAATTGTAATTCTAATCAAGAACATGTTTTTTTTACATATTGTACCTAGCAATACTGATATGAAAAGTGAAAGGAATTGTGGAAAATCTTACTTGTACCTTTACTGAAACAATTAAACACTTTCAGCCAAAATAGTACTGATACAGAATAAGGTCGCCTCTTCTCATTTTTAGGAAGATATGAGGCTACAGCTAATATTATGAAATGGTTCTTGAAGTTGGTGGAATAGGATGCAATCTCAAAGTAGAATTTCCATATCTGTTTTTACCTGTCCATCAAAAACATGGGTGGGAACTTTTGTGTGGAAGCTAATTGTAACTAACTCCATTTTTTTGCTTATAATAAGATTAGTGAAAGAAATGTACCAACAAGAGATCTGAATAGAAGTATTGAACTAAGACTTAAGAAGATATAAAATGTTATTTCATTATGAGAATGAGTTTGGCATCCTTATGAAAAAAAGGTTACCCTTTGCAGGTTGTAAATAGTTGTACATAATTTTGCCATGTTGAGAAGTGACTTTCCTTATTAAATAGTTATGAGTATTAATGAGCCTCTGTGGCCTAGCATAAAGTCCCTCTTTAAGATCCAAGGAATTGGCTACCGTCTCCCTTTAAGGACAGTAATGTTAGTAACTCCCCCTTTGCACCCCCCCCCCCCCTTCTTGCCCAACTTCCTCTCTCCAGTAGACGAGAAAGCTGCTGCACTTTCCCTCGGTGACGTTCATTGATTGTCTCTTGCATAGAAACACTATTCCTATGAGGGAAATGTTATTTCTACAACATTAGAGCAAAATTATTATTATGTATTTTTTTTTTCTTTTTAGTGTGTGACTGGGACTGATGAATTACAGTGTCCTTTCTTTTTCTTTTTTTTTTTTCCTTTTTTCCTTCATTGTTGATATTTGCAACTGTTTTCTTATATACCATTAAATTTTTGAATGAAATAATTTCCAGTTGATATGTAACTTTTTTTGCTGTGAAGTAATGTAGATGTCTTCTTTTTTCACTGTTACTAATATCTTGGTATATTGTTAGTCTCTCACAGCCTAATGAGTGATTCAATACAAAAGAAAAACCAAATAAAAACCTTTAAAGAGAAGCAAAATATTTTTTTTTTTACATATGATAGTATTAACCCTTGAGTACATTTAAGTCATGCCTGTGATGGTGGTTGAATTGTCAGTCTCTCTCTTACAAGCCATGTTGGTTAGCAGTAACTGTCACCAGACTCATTCAGGTAGACAAATGTACACACTCCACTAATACGACTCTTCATGTGTTGTTACCTCACTGCAGGGCTCGGCCAGGGTCAATGGTATGATTCTCTTCTGTGATACAAGTATAACCCATTGCATGCAACATGGAAGACTTTTTTTTTTTTTCTTCTCCCTTTCGTTTGCTTCTAACATTTGTTTCTTGTACAGTATATATATACAATACGGGGTCTGGGTGTGTGGGGGGACTGGGGGTGGCGATGTGATTGTTTATTGTTGTTTTGGTGGTTGTTGTTGTTGTTATTATTATTGTTATTATTATTATTATTATTATTATTATTATTATTATTATTATTATTATTATTATTATTATTGTTATTGTTATTTTTATACACATGAACATATGCACACACACACAACATACACACAACATGCATACAACACATGCACACAACATGCATGCACACACACCACGCACACACTCCATGCACACACACCACGCACACACACCACGCACACACACCACGCACACACACCACGCCCACACTCACACACACACACACACATAAAACACACACACACATAACACACATGTGACACACACAGATGTTTATCAATATATATATATATATATATATATATATATATATATATATATATATATATATATATATATATATATATATATATATATATGTATATATATGTATATATATGTATATATATGTATATATATGTATATATATGTATAAATATGTATAAATATGTATAAATATGTATAAATATGTATAAATATGTATAAATATGTATAAATATGTATAAATATGTATATATATGTATATATATGTATATATATGTATATATATGTATATATATGTATATATATGTATATATATGTATATATATGTATATATATATATATATATATATATATATATATATATATATATATATATATATATATATATATATATATATATATATATACCCATACCCATTCACACATACATATACACATATATACATATATACATATATACACACACACATATATAAGTAAGTTATTATTATTGGATTACTATTATTATTGGGTAAGTTGCTTCTAATTATGAGCAATTTGGCCAGTGGATATTTTGAAGCTTTGGTAAATCTAGAAGCTTATCTATTTTATTGCTATCATTATTATTCTTATTCTTGTTTATTGTTATTATTATTATTATTTTTATTACTAGTGTTTTTTGTGTTATTATAATTAATATTGATATTATTATTGTTGTTGTTGTTGTTGTTATTATTATTATTATTATTATTATTATTATTATTATTATTATTATTATTATTATTATTATTATTATTATTATTATTATTATTATTATTATTATTATTGTTATTGTTCATTATTATCATTATTATTACTGTTATTGTTGTTAATAGTCTTACTATTATTATGGTTATTGTTATTTTTTATTTTTACTGTTATTTTTATTTCCTAATTGCTATCATTTATTTATGTATTTATTTATTGCTCCTGTACAAATAAAATGCTTGATTATGGGCTGCAGGAAATTTTTGAATTTCCATTTATTTTTTCATCACTATTTAAGAAGTGTTTATGTATTTATATAAAGAGTATATACATATACTTTATAAAAGTTGTTTGTTGTAAACAAAGTACCGTTGGCCATGCAGTATGCAATAATTTTTCTGTGTAAAAGCGTGAACTTACAAGCACAGGAGTATTTTGATGTTGAAATGTCACTCGCTTGCAACTAATCTTTACAAAGGCGTCAGATGCGATGGACAGTATCGTTATTAAAAAAAAAAGTAAAAAGAAAGAAAATGCACGTACTCACACTTTCAAATTTGCTTGGATTTAAGGGGGAAGAAATTGTTTTTTGGCTGAATACCAGTATGGCTTCAAATGATTACTTCAGTTGGTGAATGCTAGGTAACCTGTGCTGCGTTATGTCAGTTGTCAGTGGCTACGTAGTTCTGTTTCTCTCCCTCTCTCTTTCTCTTTCTCTTTCTCCTTCTCCTTCTCTGTCTCTCTCTCTTTCTTTCTCTTTCTCCTTCTCTGTCTCTCTCTCTTTCTTTCTCTCTCTCTTTCTCCCTCTCTTTCTCCCTCTCTCTCTCCCTCCCTCCCTCCCTCCCTCTCTCTCTCTCTCTCTCTCTCTCTCTCTCTCTCTCTCTCTCTCTCTCTCTCTCTCTCTCTCTCTCTCTCTCTCTCCCCCCCCCCCTCTCCCCCTCTCTTTCTCCCTCCCTCTCTCTCTCTCTCTCTCTCTCCTTCTCTCTCTCCCTCTCTCTCTCCCTCTCCCTCTCTCCCCCCCCTCCCTCTCCCTCTCTCCTCCCCCTCTCCCTCTCCCTCTCCCTCTCTCTCTCCCTCTCCCTCTCCCTCTCTCTCCCTCTCTCCCTCTCCCCCCCCCTCTCTCCCCCTCTCCCTCCCTCTCTCTCTCTCTCTCTCTCCCTCTCTCCCCTCCCCCTCTCCCCTCTATTCCTCCCTCTCTCCAGTCATCCATCCATCAATCCCTCCCTACTTCTCTTCCAGTAATTAGACATAATACTTTCTTCACTAATATTTGTTGGAAATCTTGTTCTTAAGTCCAAGTCAGTTCCAAGACAAATGCACATACAAGTGACATCTTACCTAGTGAAGGCCACACAGCTAATACATGCACTGCTTGTTCTGATAGTTCAGTGTGTATAGTGCATGTTGTCTTGTTTACAAAGTTTGAACAGACCCCCCCCAATTGTTTAACATCACCTGTAGTGACAGTTTTTAAAATTTTGTTTTATATTTTGATGATGAAGTTATGATAGTCTTTAGAATATACACTGGATATTGATGTTCTACATTTTATTTTTTGTTCAATATGAAAGAAATGCCATATTAACCTCCCCATGTTTGTCTATAATATAAAGCACTCTTTTTGTGTGTATGTTGCAAAAACCCTTTGTAGAAGTTTCAGAATAGTCTGTAAGGTAATGTAATAGATTTAAAAATTAAATACTACTGATAGTAAAGTAGTCTCTCCACATCATTAAAACAGTTAACAAGTACTAGTCTTGATTTCTTAGTTCCTCTCCCAACAAAACTTGGTACTAATGAATGCCCCTTTTCCCCTCCCCACGCAGCATCACATCGTAGCGGAGGCGATCGTCTGGTGCTGGGGACGGGAGTGGCCCGCCCCTCCATCCTTGGCCGGAAGGACTTGTTTGTGAGATTCGGAGAGCAGGAGAAGGCTGCTCTTGAGGAGTTTGAGTTCCTGTGTGACTTCTCCACATCCCTCTCTGACTTAGGGTCACAGGACCTTGGTGCGTCGAGTGTTTTGGGAGACAAAGCCACTCCTAGTGCTGTAACGGCTGATGGCAGGAGTGTGCTTTCTAGTGTGCCCAAGGCAGATAATCATCCCTTGAAAAGACAGCAAATAGGTAGTCATGAAATAAAGGGCAGAACTCCAAAAGTCGATTCCAGTTTGAAAAACAGCTTAAAAAGTGAAGTTAGTCCCAAAAATAATATAGCCAGGCCCAAAAGTGAACGAAGTACGAAGAGTGACTTGAGTGTAAGTGAACGGGAAGATCCTAAAAGTGAAGTAAGTGTAAATGAACGCGAGGACCGATGTCCTGCTGGCAATATTCAGGAAGGTGTGGATACGAGAAGTCTTTGTAGTGTAAGGAGTGCTATACGTCAGCTCAACAAGTTTAATCACAACTCAGGAATTAAGCAACCTGCCACTACATCAGCTATACCAGCTAGAAGTGCTTCCAGTACAACCTGTAGCAGAGTAATCCCCAATAAAACCAGTTCCAGTACCAGTTCAAACAGACCAAAGGTTTGGAGCCAAGCCAAGAATAAAGTGAGCGACGGTACCCCCAGCGGAGCACCCAAGTGTAGTGCAAGACAGGTGAACCCACCAAGCAGAACGCCATCTCCTCAGCTTACCTCCAAGGACAACCGAGTCGCCAGCAGCAAGTCGGTGGGTCAGGTGCAAAATTCTGGTGACAGATTACACAGCAACTTGAAAACGAGCTCTCCCACACGTATCCCACGTATCCAAACACCTCACATGTCTTCCAAGAAATCATCAAGAGCCGAGTCTCCAAAAGCCCTCAAAGAAGATACTCCTTCCTCCAAAGACGCTGGCGAATCCTCTAGAAAGTCCAAAGCCCCATGTGATAAGGCACTGCCACCCAAAGGGTTCTCCAGCAGAGCAGCCAAGCCTTCCGCATGCATTCGTTCAAACCTTGCACGGAGGCAGCAACAGCAGCAGCAACAGCCACAGCAGCCACCTCAGCAGCAGCAGCAGCAGCAACAACAGCAGCAGCAGCAGTCTGTCAGAAGTGGCATCAGGAGTCCAAGACTAGCCCGGCTGAAGAAATCCTCAGATCCCCTCGACTCTTTCTCCAGCAAGTCCATGTGTGACAGCGGGTCCAGTGAGGGCTCAGAGCGGTGCGGGGGGAGGCTCTCCCTCAGTGACTCCTGCGCGGAAAACTTCTCGCCGATAGACAGCGGGGATGAGGTTTTTGAGAAGGAGGGCTGATGGGCTTCTCAACCCATGTGAAAATAGATTTACCGCTACTTTTTCCTTGCCAGATATGGTGCTTTGGAATTATTTAAAGGGAGCACTTGAATAAAAAGTTTACACATTTGCAGTGTGCATGATGGCCAATATGATCTTTATATTTCTATTAGTTGCATTGGGGTTATTTATTCCTTTTAATTTATTTTTTCCCTGTTGAAATGCCCTTGGATATTGCACATTCCGAATATTTGTGACCATGACAATATTCAGAGCAACATGCATTTATTAACATTATTCCAGATATTTATATGTAAACCTATTTTTTTGTTTTTGTTTTTGTTGTTCATGTAACCCTTTGGAGCTAGTGTCTTCCACGGTCTTCTCACTACTAATATGCTTCTGCTTCCCAGGCTCTCATGTGGAAGGTTTGCCTAAAGCAACGAACAAAGGTATCAGTGGCTTTACCAGATTTAAATAGGTCATGATAGAGTATCGAAAGATTAATTAACAGACTGAATGGCGTTAAATGATGCTGTTCGTCAGCAGCAAGAGCAAATGCTAGTCACTTCGGAGTAGGGTAAATATTTAGGGGTTAGGGAGGTGCAAGTATGTGTCTCGATTCAGGATGCATTTATGCAATAATTGCCCTAAGTGTTACATGCATTTAACTACCTTTTTTGATAATGTGGATCCCTTGATGTTGAGTGTGAACTACTGACTGGAAGGAAGGTATGGTTAAGTTGTGACCGTGAATGCCTGCATTTGCGTTGCAAGTTTTGCATTGAGTATCTGTCATGAGCATTTTGTATTTATATTTGAAAAAGTGTTTCCAGATGCCACTGTACTTGATTTTGCAATCCTTTATTGCTTCAAGAATAACAGAAGGGCTTCATAGTACATGACCGTTGCATTGCATTATTGTGTAAAGAGATTACCAAATGGTGCATTACATTTCTTGCAGCAGTACAAATTGGTTTTACTCTGGTATATGCAAATTTAGTTGCCTTCCAATGCCTCAACATTAGAGCTTTTCATAGGATGCAGTTTTATTGCTTTCTTTGACAAAGCCTTTCAGCAAATACCGTGCATTGATATAATGAAACATGATCAAAAAGTGACAAAAAAATACACGATAATCCATTTTGGTTAATTGTGCTACTCTCTGTTCATGAATAGTGTGTAGAATGAGTTTCTGAACGTCTTCAGGTTTGTTACTACGTTACACAAAGATGAATTTATTTTGGTAATTTTTCATACGTTTAGATAAAAAGAGAGAAAAGTGAAGTGCGCTATGAACCTTTTTGATGTGATTATTTGCGGGGAAAATGAAGGGGGTAGACTTTTTTTTTTTTTTTTTACTGTTCATTTCCTTTCCTTTTCCGTGTAGACAGGAAGTCGCAAAGGACCTGTGGCTCACCTTTGTACGGACTCAGATTTACACATCCTGCTTTCCCTCAAGTAGTAGCTAGCCCAGTTCAATGTCACGATTCAAAACATCCTTGAAGGTAGATCTCAAATACTTTATAATGAAATGTTATGGAATAATAAACGAGAGAAGTGCGTTTCATATGTAATTAACTGTTGTAAGATAGTATGGCTACTAGTGTACATAGATTTTGTAGTTTCCTAATTATTACACCAATATAGTCAACATTTCTGC